TCAAGAGCGGCTGCACAAGCTCTGATGACAACACAACTGTTCCACGATTCGCCGGATTCACCGCATGACAACGATCATGTTCGTTTCGTGTTTATTCTCTCAGCTTTAGTTCCACTAAAGCTCACAGATCAGTTTTTTATTACAGTAAACAGTCTTTTCATCTAGTCGCAATGTTTTACTGTGTCATGTTTATCAAAATAAAACGGATTAAAAAACGTTGACTCCACTTCATTGATATAGGCTTATTTTGAACTTTATTCTAGTTCCAGTATGAAGCATGTAAAGTATTAAATGAAAATGTGTCTGAAATATCTGTGTATTTGGCAAATATTGCTTTTATTTCACTTCAGCTGTGGTAAAGTATGCAAACACGTGATCGGTCACTACGGGAAACCAGAAAATGTCCGACTTCATGTCTCCGTTTGCAGCTCCTCCCCGCCTGCACGCGAATACTCGCAGATCGGTTACATCCAGCCAATGTCGAACACACCTTTAGTCTTGTCATTATTGCCTAGTTATGCTGCGTTCATGTGCTATGGTAATTATGGTAAATACCAAAAGCCGACGTGAAAAATGCACGTGAACACCCCCTCATGTGGTATTTTCCACTGGGCAACTCGTAGAATATTTTGATGGACGAGTTGCCGAGATGATATAACCTTTGACCATTTCAAAATGGCGGAGAGCACCGTGAGAGTCGTGAATGGTAAAAATACATACTGATACATGATCTAGAAAATATATTAGCATATTATTTACCTTTTGAGTTTTTATAAATCATTTTCTTGCTGTTGCAGATGACTTAAGCAATCTAAAATAGTTTTAGCTATATAACAGGTCTGGCTCCATCTTTTTACCACATTACGACAACAAAAGCACTTGAGCGCAACACACTGGTAAATACCAGTTCACAAGTGGAAAATATCCTATTTTCCATAGCATGTGAACGCAGCATTAGTGTCACCTGTTCCCCTCATTAGTTTCTCCCCTCCATAGATATCCATAATAAAGGCTAGAGGTCTCGTCCGCGCTGCTGTCCAATGGAGGTTGAAGTCTGCACATGGCGGCCATCTTGTCACAAGGCAGATCTCTCACTGAAAACATTGTGTTGGTACATGTACTTTTTTAATTACCATAACTTGCTCAATTTTCTACAGATTTTCAAACGGTTTGGTTTCTTAGAAATGTCAGAGATGTAGTTATGACACTGCACACTTATGAATAATAAGTGTATCAATAAATAATCATTCAGAATTATAGCCACGTTAATAACGTTTGTAAGAAACCAAACCGTTTGTAAATTCGTCAATATTTCAACGAGATAAGAGTATTTGTGTACGTGCTGATCACTCATCTCGCCATTTGCATGAACATATAAACATACAGTATGTTAAGACTGTTCCTTTAAGAACTAGTACAGACAACTAGCAGTTAGTTAGGGGTAATCAGTCTTACTTTAGGGGATCAAATTTGACCATCTAGGTTTTTATGTACCTGACTTAAAAAAGGAATGTCCAGTCTTAAAGAAAAAAATGTTATAAGGCAGTTTATGCAACCAGCCCAAGGCTTTTGTTACTTGTAAGCGATCCTAGATATAATATATATTATATCAGCTCTGGAATGTAAATAGGAAAAAAAAAAAATATGCAAAATTATCAACAGATTTGCGCTTGTCAAGGCAGAGCAGACTCCTTAGGCTTCAATGGGCATTGCTGTTATGATTCATTGTAGCAAATTAAGTGTTCCTCTACCATGCTCCACAAAATGAAAATCCTTGATTAAGTATAATGAAATATAAATGGAAAATGATGTCACTGAACGTACCACATATGCTATCCGTTTAATCCTTAAAAGTTATATGAATTCCTTTGAATTATTTTCATTTAGAACTTTAATTGTAATTAATTACATTTATATCTGAATTTGAACTTTGCATTGTTTTTACCACCTAAAAACAAATTCAATTCAAATTCATGAATGTAGAAAGCTTGCACATCATTTTAAATAGACCACAAATCCTAATATAAAGATTTTGTCTCAAGTCTGTCACAATGATAGACAGCAAATTATTGCAGCGCCTCCACGTATTTGAGATGTTCCAAGAAACCTGAAGGATGAGAGTTAACAGCAATGAACCATAAAGAATAAAAAGAAAGAGAACTTTTAAAATCAAGACGATAACCACCCCCACACAAAATATTATAATTTTAGCACGATCACTTGTATTTCCATATCACTCAGTGTTTTTGAACCCCTGCATACACTGTAGTCTCCACTTTCAAAACCGCTAAGAGGCGTATAAAATAAGCTCTCAAATAAATTCCTTAATCTTCTATAATGAATTCTCCAGACTCTTTTGACATGTCACTGACGCAGGAGTGGATTGCCCCCCGTATACGTTTTTGATACGTCAGAGCGATGATCAAAAACCTCAGCATTCAAATTGACCGAAGTGGCACACATTAAACATATTGCTGACACAGATGCTCAGATTAAAGAGTGAGGTTGCAAGAATTTCAATACTGTTTGGTACACGCTGCAGCTCAGTCGAATATGAAAGCGCCAGAGCTGCCGGCAGAATACATTTAGGTGTTTGAGTCTCTCAGATGAAGATTCCCTGAGTTTGAGATTAGAGCAATTCAGAGTCGGACCTGACATTCTTTTTCCAGTGCTTTCAAATCAAGCATGCAGCATTCAGTTTGAGCTACTTAAAGTTTGACGAGTTGAGCATTAAATAGGCAAGGTATGTATAACCATAAAACTCCCAACTCCATGAGGCTTTAGTGATGAATAGGCTACTCTGCTCCAACCTCCATGAATCATAAAGACCTTATATTATTTCCAACATTTTTATTTCATATTTGAACAAATGTTAGGTCTAAACTCGTAACAAGCACAAGCTGGATGTCATTCACAGCTGGACTGTAGAAAGAGAGTGATGATAATGTGTCAGGCTAATGTCTGTGAGACTGCACTGCTACAGGGACAAAGGATTCTCATTAGTCATACTGTCTATAAGACACTTATCCATCCTCTCTGCAGCTCCTCGCATATAATGAGAGAATGATTGCATATTTCTATGCAACTGGAAAAATGTTTTTTCGGTATTACACAAACAATTTAGCTTTCCGGTTAGGGAAACACAAGATTAAAGCGTCGTCAAATAAGCCACACTTCAAGAATTAGCTAAAAATGCAATGCAGATATTAACTCCTGTGCACTCGACTCCCAAACGGTCGGGAAAACAGGGTTCCAATAACAGCCGGTCCACGCCACCTCTTCTTCAAACTGTTGGGGTGTGTGTGAGATAGTGTGTACAGTTCTGCTGCTTTCGTACTGGCAACTTAAGAGCACCATCTTCAGGCCAACTGAATATTGTTCAATCCAGTGTTGGGTGGAGAACAAGTCAAGAGTAAAACAAAAATTGTGGAGAAGAGTACCTTAAAGGTACAATATGCAGGATTTTTGCAGTAAAATATCCAAAGAACACTAGACCAATATTATATATTTTGTTTAGTTGATTACTTATCCCAAATAAGTGTTAATATCCCAAATGTTTCCAACTATTTGTAAATCGTGAGAAAAATGCCATTTTTAATCAAGGAAACGGGGCGTGTGTCATATCCGCGTTACCCCTGGTTTCCGACAGGTTTGACCTGATTGAAATCAAGGGGGTCACTGTGTCCATTTCTTTTACTGTCTATGGGTTTGACCTCGTACTGCAATAGTAACCATGGCGACAGACGTGGACAACTGGGTCGGTTATGCCCGTTATGCGTGCTCAACAGCGTGAGCGTCCCTAGCAGGGTTTTGTTCAAACATTATGGACCATGGCGAGCAGACTTTGAGACAAAAAGAGGACTAAAACGAAGATCAACATCTTTCGAGATGCCGAGAGCTCCACGTCCGCGACTAACTTCGACTTGACAAAGACGCGAGTGTTGCATGTTACTTGAGCAAACAGGTGAGCAAATTAATGTATATAAAACTGATCAATGTTATGTAGTTCAACATGATGAAAAGTTAGAATATGATCTGTATGTTAATCTAGCTTAGTCTCAAAGAGCCAACAAACAACCTAACTAACATTCAACACACTCAAATGCCGTTTAGTGTGATAGTGAAACTGTTAGAGCAAGTGAAGCAGCGCTGCGTTACCTCAAGTTTAATTCCTCTAATAAACTGACCTGTGTGAGTAATTCAGCGTGTAGTTCGGTAGAATTAAATGTCCTTATTCCTTTATATCCGCGGGACTCGCGTTGCGTGTGGCGCTGGTATACGTCTAGCAATCGCGCCCTGCTTCACACTACAGTCATGTTAAAAACATCAGTGTATTCACTCATCCATAAAAGATCCATCAGCTTGACGACAAGATCAATAATTCCGCTTAATGCGGAATATACGTCATTAATATACACCTTTGTTATTGTAAGAGGTTAGCGACCCCTGGTGGAGAAACAATCTTGCATATTGTACCTTTAAACACTTTAGAGTAAAAGTGCAGATACCTTACGGTGAAAATTACACGTTACACAAGTCACCAATTCCAATACAACTTGAGTAAAGTCTTAAGGTAAAGACACATTGTTGTAACTTTTAGTCACTTTTAGTCAATTCTAATGATTTTATTAAGTTTTTACTTTACACAACTTTATACAAATACTTCACGGATGACCATTTGAGAACCACTGATCTAATCCATCAAATACCAAATGTTGTATGTGCTGTCATAAAGACATAATTTACTAATAAGAGGAAACTATACACTCTTATAGTGTAAAATATCCTATAAATCTGAAATTACTTACTAAAAAGCATTTTAGATGTATGCCAACCATGACTTTAATGCTGCTAGGCCTTACTGATAAACTGAAAATCAAATGCAAATCTGACTTCATATTATTCTACTATAGCATTTTTTTAATGTTCAGGATGTGTATTAGGTTTCAAGTTTCTAATGCACTGATCATGTTACAGGTAAGCAATACAAACCCAACTACTTTCTTTTAATAAATATGTATTTATTTATATCTCATATATTAAAATTGGATTTGCATGAAAAAGCATCCTTCATCCTATTTCATTTTAAACATCCTTGCCAGAAAGAAAAGCTCTGCTGACTCTTTCCTGCTTGCTCTTGGCTTTACGGTTCTTACATCTTGAAACATAGAGGAAAGTCTCTGCTGGAGCTTATTGGCCAGAGCTCCATCCCAGTATTTACAAATCAAAGAGCCCCCGGGACGCAAAACCTTGTCAGCTAAGTCCAGCGCTGATAGACACATGGTGACCAGTCTTTCATGATCCAGTTCCCTGAGCCCACTGGCATTGGGGGCCATGTCACTGAGGATGATATCTGCTCCAGCTTCAGGGAGGAGCCTCTCTAGCGCCGTGTGAGTTGAAAGAGCAGTGATGTCGTGATTGGACAGAAACTGAGCTCCATCCAAAGGGGCGATGCGTAATATGTCTATTCCTATTACGCTTCCTTTTGGAAGATCTGCACCTGGAATGAACAAAGGTATGGAGCTTTAAAAACATTATTGAATAAACAAATTAAAAGGCCTGTTCACATAAAGAACGATAACTATATTTACATCCACACTAGCGGACGAAATGCAGCATGGATTAATGGAAAAACTTTCTGAAAGTGATTCCAAAAATATTGTTTAACTATATTTATATTAAATATTAAAATATTAAATAACTATATTTGACCTTTTATTTTTTTTTTAACCCATGTACTGTTGTCCAAATGTTTGAGCTTGGTATGACTTGTTTTAAATAATTATTTCTAATGCTTATCTAGGCTGCTTTTATTTTATTAAAATGTAGTAACAACAGTAATATTGAGAAATATTATTACAACAGTTTTTTTTTTTTTTGTTTTTTAACATCATTACTCCAGTCTTCATGGTCACATGATCCTTCAGAAATCATTCTAATAATATATACTTTATAAAAAAAAATTCAGGATTTTTCGATGAATAAAAAGTTTCAAAAAGAACAGCATTTATTTAAAATATTAATATTTTGTAACAATATATACTACCTTTCGGGTATTATAAGTATAAGTATTATTATTATTATTTGAAAGAAATTAATACTTTTATTCAGCAAGGATGTGGTAAATTGATCAAAAGTGGACTAGTTAGAAAGACTAGTTAGAAAAGATTTCTATCTTGAATAAATGCTGTTCTTTTTAACTTTTTATTCATCAATAAATCAGGGAAAAAAATATATCACAGGTTCCAAAAACTAAATATATATATTAAGCAGCACAACTGTTTCCAACATTGATCAAAACTGAGTATCAAAGCAGCATATTATTATGATTTCTCAAGGATCATGTGACACTGGCAACTGGAGTAAGGGCAAAAAAACAGCTTTGAATCTTTTAAAATTGTAATACTATTTCACAATATTACAGGGTTTTTTTTTTCGTTTTGTTTAAAAAAAAAAAAAAGTTTGACCTGTACTAAATATTCTCATTTGATTGATTTATTTGATTGCATTTTTTTTTTGTTTTTATAAAACTTCAAAAGAAGAGAATTTTTTTAAATAAATATTTTTATAATAATAATAATAATAATAATATAATACCTTCTTTTTTTGCCCCACAAGATGGCATGCATAGATATTATATGAAGTGATATTATATTAGTGATTCATTCATTTCGATTCAATTCAATGGCTCACTTACTTTCTGCTGTTGAATTGACTCTCTGGACGGCAACTTGACTCCACGCACCAGGCGCAGCACCGCAATCTATGACACTTAAACCAGGTTTCAGAAGTCTGTATTTGTCATCTATCTCGATCAGTTTAAAGGCGCTTCTACAGCGGTAATTCTGCAGGTGAGCAGCTTTAACGAAAGGGTCATTGAGCTGCCGCACCAGCCATCTCTGATCAGCAGCACTTTTCCCCTTCATATGCAGAGGCGTCTTCTTTTGATAGACCGCTGACATGTGAATGAACGACTTTTGTATACATTTCCTCATCATTTTCAAAGAAGTGACCTGTAGAGGAATTTAATGACGAAGTACATGAAAGCAAGAAGACACATGTGCGTCTGGTGTCTGCATGATGTCACAGAAGCGCGAAGTTTGCGCAGAACCTTTCAAATCGTTGACTTATACATTATTGTGATGTATTTGTCTTTAGAATAACGTATTAATCATTTAGACATTTAGATTAAATGTGTTCATGTATATATCAGATAAATCTCACGGTTTTAGATGGCTATCCTCGAATGTATTTCTGTCTAATATTTTTTTCCAGTCGAGAATATTTGACCGTTGCACACTACGATGTCCGTGTCGTGAAGGACTCGTTCTCTTGAGTCGGATCTTTTCAATGAACTGCGTATGACGGAAAGGTGATAATAATAGCCTTTAATAGTCGCATAGCAGAAATGTTACTAAATAAAACGTATATGATATATATTTGCAAAAACATTAAAAAACGATTAACTGATTTATGGTTTTTAAGTTCGTTTAGTGATGTTCGAAAGAACCGATTCATAGAAACGAGTCGGATTTCTGACCGATCACATTTCACTGTTGCACTAGATGACAAACCTTAGGTGGGCGGAGTTTAAATATTTTGCAGATCTGTAAATTATCTGTCGAATTTGGAACAATAATAACCTCTATGTGGACGTTAATCACTATTATGGCCAAATTCACTGTTGTCAATCTGAAGCGTCCATGTGATCGCGAGCAACACGCGGGAAACAAGCTCGACCGATTCATTAAACTAAGCCTCCAGACTTATATATACGTATTCACGCATCTGTCTTAATATATGTTGTTATTACATTTTTTTTTGTCTATATACTGATTTCGTTGGACAAAGTAAGCAATTTTTTTGGATAGAAGCAACAGTGATTAACTTAAGAAACTTGTCTGTACTGAATCATCTGAATTATCATTTAACGTTATCACTTTGTTTATAGACTGAAGAAAAGCTAATCCTCCTTTGAATGCTGTAAATAAAACTAAGAACTTGATCTGTCTAATGGAATATATTATTCAAAATTATATTGCAGGAAGGACCTGCAATTTTTTGTTTCTCTATATTGAAGGAAGCACCTGCTAAAGACATATATAACATTATAAGGATATATATATATATATATATATATATATATATATAAAGAAAGAAAGAAAGAAAGAAATTCAATTGTATTACAGCATGTTGTACTATATGTCTAGGGTGATGATGCTGAGCTCTAAACTGCTGACCCTGGTTCTGGTAGTGCAGCCTGGCCGGGTGTTATTGGGCATGAAGAAAAGAGGCTTTGGAGCGGGCAAATGGAATGGGTTTGGAGGGAAAGTCCAGACTGGAGAGACCATCGAGCAGGCTGCCCGACGGTGAGTCCAACACCCATTCACTGATGTGTTCTTTTGCAGCGTTCAGTATCCTTGATATGCTATTATGGATGTTGTTAACATTTTGAAAACAATTTTATATATATATATATATATATTTTTTCATTCTCATGTAGTTGTGTGTTTGTGTCATATACTGTTATTTTAATCAGTGTTGGGGAAAGTGGCTTTTAAAAGTCATGTGTTATAATATTGCTTTACTTTACTCCCTAAATAAAGAAGAGCAAGTAAGCAAATAAAGAAGAAGAAGAAGAAAGCAAAACGCAGAAGAAAGTTCTAACAACAGCAACAAAAACAAACGAAAAAGAAGCACAAATGTGATGTTTATTTAAAAAATGTGTGTGTATATATATATATATATATATATATATAATATTAAAATAATTATGGTTGAATTGAATCATCGAAGGTTAGCAGCAAAATCTTTGGTTAATAAAAAATAAATAAAGTACATTTGTGTTTTTTAACATTTAATTATTGAAGGTTTCCATGGAAAATAATAGTAAATTTAAATTATATTTAAAAAGTAAATTAAAATTGTAAACTATGGAAAATAATAGTAACCATTGCATCAAAACAATATTATAACAAAATTATGACTTTACAAAAACTATTTAACAAATATATTTTTAAATATTGTAATTGTATTTAATTGTGTAATTCACAAACAGTGAATATACTCTATACAGTAATGACTTATGGTAAATATATTTGTGCATTTGTTATAAAGTTAGACATTTTCCAGGAACTGGACACCAAAAATGGTCACCCATTAATATAAATGCGTTACAGTTCCTACAACGAATAATAGCAGTGTTTTTCAGGTGTAAAAGCATTAAGATTGGTCGTCTTTCTGGTACCTAGAGACTGAAAGTGAAAGTTTTACTTTAGAAAACCCATCATTTTCCCTCCAGTGTCTGTTTTTTCACTTCCTTGAAACTCCACGTCAAAGTTAAACAATATCAAACATTCACAACGTTACAAGGTTCAAACTATTTACTCTTCTGTTGAACTTAACAATGGTGTCAGCGATTGGTCATGTTCAATCTTCCCTGCTTTTATTGGTTTCCAGCTGAAACAAAATGCCATTTAATTTGACAGGGAGCTGCTAGAGGAAAGTGGCCTCACTGTTGACACCCTTCTCAAGATTGGAAATATCAAATTTGAGTTTATTGGGGAAACAGAACTGCTCGATGTCCACATTTTCAGAGCTGACACCTATAAAGGAGAGCCAACCGAATCAGACGGTAATAAAGCTCCACATCACTTTATGATTCAGTTTGCTAGACACATACTGAGACGGAAGGTCTAATAACGTGCCACTGAAGCGGTTTGTTTTGTCTTTCAGAGATGAGGCCACAGTGGTTTGACACAGACAAAATCCCTTTCAGCCAGATGTGGGCAGATGATGTCCTGTGGTTCCCACTGATGCTTCAGAAAAAGAAGTTCTTGGGATATTTTAAATTCCACGGTCATGATGTGATAGTGGAGCATAAACTGGAGGAGGTGGACGACGTTTGATTGGGGTTTTAATTCCATTGATGGACATTGCCACTGTATCAGTGGAAATTATCCAGCAAAAGCTGATGCTCACACATGAAAATAACGTTATCCATTAGTTTGATGTTTCATTTATATTTTGGTTGAATCCTCATATGCATCATGATCTGTATTCCAATGTTTTGTTTTTACCTGTTTCTTTTTTCCTCATTCTTACAACGGTTTTTCCATCAGTAGTGTACATAAAGTTCATTTCTATCTAAAGTTCTCTCAACTACTTGTCATCTAAAAAAAAAAAACAAGTTTAATCGGAAGTTTATCTTGATTAAATATTCTGATGTACATCTTTGTGTATTCTTCAATTATTTCAAATTATATGATAAACATATATATATATATATATATATATATATATATTAGGGCTGTCAAACGATTAATCGCATCTAAAGTAAAAGTTTGTGTTTTCATAATATATGTGGGTGCACTGTGTATAATTATTTTATATAGATAAATACACACACATGCTTTTATATATTTAAGAAATATTTTCATGTATATACTGTAAATAGATTTATATTTAATTTATATTATATATAAATATTTTACATATATACAATAACATAAGTATTTTTTTTAATTAAATATACATTCATGTGTGTGTATTTATATACAAAATAATTATACACAGTGCACCCACATATATTATGTAAACACAAACTTTTATTTTGGATGCGATTAATCTTTTGATATACTGTATATATATATATATATATATATATATATATATATATATATTGGCCATACTTTTATATCTAGAAAAAAAAAACACTGGCAGTTTCATAAGTATGTAGAAAACCGTTTTGCTGCTTTAATTTTTTTGTGACAACGTAAATAATTTACATTTTTTAATATTAAAAAGTTGAAATCGACATCTTTTTTTATACAAATGCTATTGACAAATGCTTTTGATCAAAATTCTCACACTTGCATTTACTCTCTGTGCCAGCAGATGGCAGAATTGGCTTTATGCACAGCTGCACTACTTCCTGAACTTCTACCAGCTCCTTCCCAGATAGCAAACTGACATTGAATCAACGTGGAAATATGACATCGAAACAACGTTGATCTGACATTGTTTTGCTCATCGAATTAACGTTGAACCAACGTCAGATGCATCATTCTTTCAAAACTAACGGAAAATCAACCTGAAATCAACGCGTTGTTTCAACGTTATGAAAGCAAACCAATTTTCGATTTCATTTAGCTTTGAAGAATGCCGCTTCTGACGTTGGTTCAACGTTAATTCGATGAGCAAATCAACGTTGTTTCAATGTCATGAGAGACGTTGTTTCCACGTTGATTCAATGTCAGTTTGCTGTCTGGGTTGTTTCCTGTCTGCCATTATTGGACAAAATTCGATTAATTCAGGTGCCTGATTATTGTTGTTGCGACTAAATTAATTAGTTAATTAATCAGTTAGTTTGTCCAAAAATGGCAGACAGGAAACATGGCTGAAGTTCAGGAAATAATGGAGCTGTGTGCATAAAGCCAATTGAATATGTTTTTTTTAATATATCAGAGAACAAAAACCAGTTAACATTAATTTGCTTTCCTCAACCGAACCATCAAACATGAACTGATAATAATAAGCTCTGCAAATGAGTTTACTAGAATGTAAAACAATTAAGACAAAATATGCATGATACATGCGTTATCAACCAACAACAATGTGTCAATAAAACATGAAAAATTGGCAGACATATTTCAAAGTAAAGTTCTTACAAAAACAGTCCGTGAATTGCAGACCTTTGTGATTTATCAAATGACTGAAAACAGGTCTTCGGTGTAGGCTGTAGAGCAGCTAGCGGCTAATAATTTCATGCTAATGGTAGTTATTGCTTCATTTCAAGATGCTCTCGATCTAGGCTCAGACTTAGTTACAGAACAGTTAGTTACATTTTACAGAACAGTTTAACAATTAATTATAGGTATATTTCACGTATATAGTCTGCCTACACTACCGTTCAACTTCGAATACCTCACGGTAATGTTTTTGAAATGCTCAAGGCTGCATAACTTAAAACCATTTAAAATAACTGTTTTCTATATCATTTTCTTCTAAAATGTAATTGATTCCTGTGATGGCAATACTGTCAACTTTTTATAAAGTTGTGTTGTCTATTTCTTTGATTACATAAATCAATGTCTTTGCGCTTTGTCTTTACAGGCACTTTTGATCAATTTAATGCATCCTTGCTGAAAAATGAAGAAATAAATGAAATGAATAAAATACCTCTTTTGAATGGTAGTGTAGCCTACAGCCATTCCTTAAAAATGATGAAAACAAAGATGGAAGCACATGGAGTGCAGATTACAAAATACACAACAGAGGCTAGAAGCTGAAACCACAAACAAATAATAATACAGTGCCTGCAACTAATAGCATAATCTCTGAATATTTACCATATCTGATATGTATCTATTAGCTTCTCAGCTCATTTCTTATTACACCTAAAGTAGCATCTAGAATAGCTATTTTGTCATGTGTTATTCTTGAGTTTTTTTTTGTACAGAGTAGCTTAAATTTCAAAACAGCAACATCATCTTTGCATAGGCTACATGTAAAACACACAGTGCAGTGTCCTCCTAAAATGATTCACAACAGCATAGCCAGTTATTTTAGCTGTCCATTCGCTCAAACTGTAGGAAATTGAGGGCCTTCTTCACCTCAGTGATATTTTAAGATCTGCTGCATGAACATACACAGTTTCCAATATTCATTGCAAGGTGCTTTTAATATTGACTGTCTGTAACTCCTGTAGAGATCCTGCAATTCAAAACAGGCTAGAGTTAATTGTCTTCTTGAGATTCTGAAGGCACAGAAGGGAGGTTATTTTGGGCTGAGAGGCGGAGACTGCCCATTACCGTCCCCGAAAAGACTTTTGAGCTTGGAATGAAGATCTTGCCACACCTCACCCATCTAGATCAGAGCAAAATAAGGTTTTGTTAACATCTAAGTAATAAACAAAGCAGCTTTGGCACGTATTGAAAAGAATAACTCAAACACACATACTGTTGATACGAGATATAAGCTTACATCTTTATGTCCCAGCACCTGTGAGTCTACAAATGCCCCCAGGATGAGAGATGTGATGGGCAAGTATGTGAATATGAGCTGGCTCTCCTGGTGCAGGCAGAACAGGGAGAAGTAGTTGCGCAGCTCCATGACCTGAATGGCGTTTTCTTGCTGCCGTGAGTCAGAGATCAAAGTGAGGTCACATCATCCCACTCTAATTATCATCATAATCATCATCATCATCACTTGCTCACTATGAGCCATCCATCAGTTAAAACCCATTTGATCATGACGTTATTTGAAGGTTAAACAGTATGTGCCTCACATGACTTGGAATTGCATCATGAGACATACTTTCTCTCGTCCTCCAGCTGGCCGGGTTTTTATCATAAAAGGAGAAGGGGCCTTTATAAAAGTTATTTTTCTAACAAAATTCAATTGATAAATCCTTAAAATAATTAACAAAATGTGCAAAATGGCTACTCAAGTGATCAATTAAATGCTTAAATGCAAATCTGGAAAGTAAAAATATAGATTATAAACTTGCTTGGAATTACTTGGTTGCATGTACAATATTTTGAGTGCTCTTGATGCAATGCCATTACATTAGAATAGTGTTTTTTTTTTTCTCAGTTTGGTTCAATTTTACATCAAAGAACTACAGCATTTTCTATTTAATATATTTAGAAAATTGAATATATTTCTTTATGTATTTTAGCAGTCATCACCATAGTGTTCAGTGTTACATGATCTTTCAGAAATCATACTGATATGATGACTTTGTGCTTAAAAAAAAGTATTATTATCAATTTTGAAATCAGATGCTTTATATTTTTGAAATAGAAATATGAAATTTTATTTGAAATATAAATCTTATATAAAATTTTTGTCCTTACTGTCCCTTTTGATAAATTTAATGTCCTTGCTGAATTAAATTATTAATAAATAAATAAAACATTTTACCGACCATCATTTTTGAATATCTTAAAGCTAACATTTTAACTGTGACATCACTAAAAAAATCTTCTAACATATTATTTTATATATTTTTAAACATATTCTCGAATCTTTATCAAATAAATATAAAGATTTGAGTTAATATACATACTGTATATATGAAGAGTTCAGATGCAAAAGCCTCTAAGTGCCATTTGAAATTTTCTTCTAGAATGATCATTTTTATCAAGCTTGTATATTTAAGTTCAGTAATTTCACTTAAAAGACAATGAAGACTACCTATTAATTGTCATTTAAGTCAGGGCTGTGAGTGAGGGCTGACCTGGACGATGCGGGACTCCAGCTGCTCTACAGAAACCTGTTCTTTAGGCTGCACGGTGGCGCTCAGCATTTGTCTCTTCATGACACCGTACTTCTGTAACGCTCGCTGATGTTCGTGCAAGACCCCTTTCTCGTGCCGTTCACACAAGTCCTATATGACAACACAAATAAATGCTCACTAAAAAAACCTGCTGTGGCTTGGCTTATTGGCTACCTTATATGCACATTGAGCTTTGGTGCTCATGCGGGAGACACAGGTTTGAATCCAGCTTGCAACGCGTGCCAATTTTGTAACTCATTCCCATTATTTCATGTCCTCTCTCATTATGATATGCTGATTTGCTTCTTAGTTATAATTGGTGCTCAATTCTTAATAATGGTTCTTATTATATCAATGTTGAAAAGGTTTTGATTTGATTATTCTTTGATGAATAGAAAGACAAAAAGAACAGCATTATCATTTTTGAAACAGAATTTGTCTTTACTGTCACTTTTGAAAAGTGTAATGCATCCTCACTGAATAAAATGATACTTACCCCAGACTTTTGAATAGAAGTAGTATATCAGTTTCCACAGATATATTAAGCAGCACAACATTGATAATAATAAGAAATGTTTTGAGGAGCAAATCAGAATATTAGAATGATTCTGAAGGATCACATGACAATGCTGAAAAAATAAATAAAAAATAAAGGTAAAATAATATTTATGATATTTCACAGTGAACATGGTTTGGTTTGGTTACTTTATTAATACCCGTAGGTAAACTGGTTTTGCAGTCTAAGAGGCAGGACATCCTGAGAACATTGTCGACCACAACATGACATACAACACACAAGACATTAAAACATGTAAAAACAGGCAATAAAAATAAACAAAAAGAAGGAACAGAGAACAGTAGCCTACATGACCAAAGCGCTTACACCTTATTTAACAGAGTGATTGCTGCTGGTACAAAACTGTTTTTAAAACGAGTGGCTCTACAAATAGGGACTTTCAACCTCCGTCCCGAAGGGAGACTCTGGAATTCCCTATTCAGAGGATATAGACTATCATTAGTGATAGCCATGGCTAACTTCTGTAATTGTTTTTCATACAGAGTCATAGGGTGCAGCTGGGATTCCCCAGTCAGCTTACTTGACCACTTTACAATTTGGTTTAGGTGATTTTTATGCTTGACTGAGACACAACCAAACCATGCCACCAAGTCAAATGATATAATGGTTTCAATAAAAGACTTATAAAATAAAGTCATCATGGTCTTATCTATATTGAAATGATGTAATTTTCTCAAACAGTATAGGCACTTTTGCCCTTTTTTACAGACAGCCTCACAATTCTCCTGGAAATTTAATTTAGAGTCAATAATTGTCCCTAAGTATCCATAAGATTGTACTTGGTCCACTAGTTGACCATTTATAATTATTGCCTCATATCCTAGTGATAATCAAAGTACATATTCTTTGTTTTGGATATGTTCAATTGAAGATGTGACTCCTCGCACCATCTGACAACGTCTTCAATTATTGGACCATGGCCTCTTTCATTTTTATGGAGCAAACTCACTATAGCGGTGTCATCAGCATATTTTATAATGGTCCTATTTACATATTTGCTCTGACGCACATTTGTATATAAAATTAACAAACATAAGAGGCTTCTTTCAAAAACACTGAAAAAAATCTTAATTATTCCTAACTTTTAACCAGTAGTGGATTAAAAAAAAAATCATATTTCAGTTTATTTACTAAAAATAGACAAAAAAATAAAGAAAAACTTCTCAAATGAGACTAAAAAAAAATGCATCTGTACTCACCCTGTACGATTGCAGCAGGTCCAGAAACAGATTTAGTTTTTCCACCACATCATCCTCCTCTCTTCTGCCCTGTATTAAGTAAACACATTCAATTCCTCTGTAGCAGTGTGCCACCAATTCACGTGGTATGTGTGGGCGGCACAGTACCTGTTGGGCAGCTCTTTCAGACAGAAGTGAGAACTCAACAGAGAGCCCTTTGACAGAGCGTCTAAGAGCAGCCCAGGGACTCTTGCAGGACGCCAGGACAGGCACAGGGGACTCATCTGATCCCAAAGAACTGGATTGGAGAGAAACCAAAGCTCAAATCTATACAGCCAATAGTCACAAACATCAGGAGATCAAGCTCTCTCAAACCACTGCAAGAATAAAAATAGTCAATTGCAATAAAAAAAAAAAAAATGGTACCTGAGCTCCTTCCCAAACATCAGCAGATCTGTGGCGTTCTCCTTTGAGCGCTCGGCCATCCTCTCTGCCCGGTCTCGTAACTTCTGAAAACTGTTATGGATATTTCTGATGAGCTCCCGGCAGGACGAAAACTGACTTTGGATATCTGCTGGGAGGTAATCCTGGAGGAGAAATCACATTGATTAATAAATATTGCACAAACATTTAGCATACATGTAAAATAAAGCTGAATCAAACCTTGGCCAGCGTTGCATATGTACAGGTCATGAACTCATCCCCCATTTTTTTGCAAGCATCTCTAAGCTTAGGTTGGACATCCTATGGGACATAAATATGGGAATTCACAACCTGATGAACATCTATGAAAAACATAAAAATACATATATTTTCCCAACCCAAAATTATCTTGGACTATAATATATCATCAAATTCAATCCAGTTTATCCAGAGCTTTGAATCAAGTTGGCAAAAAGTCCATACCGAGCCACTGAAGGTGAGGAATGTTTTCACAAGCTCATCTTCGGAAAAGACAGGGTGTCGCGCCACAAGATTTAGGAACCTTCCCAGGGCTCGTCTCCGCCCTTCAATGAACTCTCGCTCTGACATGGAGGTCAGGACTGCAGCGGGGCCAAAGAACAGAGAAAAGATTAAACTTTTCCAGAAACAACCAAACATAGTCCTTCCATTAATAGAACACAGCAAGGAGCTTTCTGCTACTCAGTTACTATGGAAGTGCAAATTGCTGAAATCTGCAGAAAATCAGAACATGTTTACTTTTTTTTAACCTTGGGAGAGCCCCGATTGTGTGTCTGGTGCATTCCCAGAAAGCATTTGAATGTCACAGCACAGCCTAAGTGAAAGGTGAACAAGACTATAATAATAAAATAAAGGTTTGATCACAAACCCTTTTCAGGCTGGTATTTTACAGTGAATAAAACAACGGCCCACCTCCTTTCAACGCTCTTTTGGGAGGAAGCGCCGGCACGACTCTGTAAGCATATCTCTGAAGCAGGAGCTCATGGAAGACGTCAAAATCGCTGTATCGCCGATAGACTGAGCCTGTAAAACGCTGGGCACATGACACATGAACTATCAGCGATACATTTAAATAATACAACTGTAACTGTTGCAATGACTCAGCAGCATGCATAAAAATGGCTTGACTGAATGAGTCCTTAATTATATTGAAAAATAAATAAATATTTGAAAATTGTATTTTTCCTGTGGAGGTCCTTTTACAATAATATATTTTGCACCAGAAGTCATTATCTCATTTTCTGTGTCAAATATAGATTTTAACTTCTTCATTTTTCAAAAACAGCCTCTTCGCAAAGTCAGGATTACTGTGACAGGATCACAAATCAGTCTACCCTGAAATAAACCACTGGTCCCCCTTAGACTGGAGAGGTTATGTTGATTTGCTCATCAAGGTATTTTATCTCAAAGGACATTGATCCTTCATTATATGAAACCTTTAAGATACTGCACTCTTGAAAATAAAGGTTCTTTATTTGCATTGATGGTTCCATTCAAAATATTAATGGCACATTTCCAATTCACAAACGGTTCTTTACAGTAGAAAAAGGTTTTTAAGATTATTAATACATGGTTCTTTTAAAGGGATAGTTCACCCAAAAATGAAAATTATCTCATTAAAATTTGGAATAAAACGCTCAATTCATATGGATTCGTTTTATGATCTTTTTATGAACTTTTTGAAACGTCAAAGTGGTAGTTGCGTTGGAGTCAATGGAGGACAGAAAGCTCTCCGATTTTATTAAAAAGATCTTCATTTGTGTTCTGAAGATGAATATAAGTCTTACTGGTTTGGAAAGAAATGACAGCATTTTCATTTTTGGGTGAACTATCCCTTTAAGAACTGTTCAATGAAAGGTTCTTTGGGGAACTACCAAATATTTCAGATATTTCTTCAGAACCCCCCCTGGGTTTTTACTGAGTTTTAATAGTGTGATCACAAAGACTCAGTAGTCTCGGTTTAAATATTTATTTCAGAGTGTCAACATCTGATGGCATCACCCAACACGAATGCTAAGGCTGAGTAGTTCACTTTAAAAAAAAAAAAAAAAAAAAAAAAAACTTTTGCTGATAATTTACTCACCCCCATGTCATCCAAGATGTCTATGTCTTTCTTTCTTCAGTCAAAAAGAAATTAAGGTTTTTGATGAAAACATTCCAGGATTTTTCTCTATATAATGGACTTACTGGTAACCAAACGGTTCAAGGTCCAAAAGACAGTTTCAGTGCAAACTGCAAACTGTTCAAATGGCTTTAAACGATTCCAGACGATGAATAAGTGAAACGATCGCTCATTTAAAAAAAAAAATAACAAAGTTTAAGTTTTATAAGCTCAAATGTTCACCTTGCTCTGTTCTGTGATGCGTGTTCGTTCGAACTCGTTTATCAAAATGAACTAATCTTTTTTCGTATCATTTGGTTCATTCGCGAACAAAATGAAAGAATTAACTCGGAAAAAGATTAATTTATTTTAAAGTGCATTATATGGAGAAAAAATCCTGGATTTTTAAGGATTTAGGTTTTATCAAAAACCTTAATTTCTTTTCGACTGAAGAAAGCATGACATGGACATCTTGGATGTCATGGGGTCGAGTAAATTATCAGCAAAAGTTTTTTTTTTTTTTAAAGTGAACTACTCCTTTAATATGGAGAGAAGAAAATGTTAGGCTCATTGTTTGTGCATCAGGGCTAGTATGACACAGCAACAATGACTCAACTAATGGTTTAGGGCCTAAACCATTAGTTGAGAAATTTTTAAGGTGTAGAACTGGACCAATCGATTTTGTCTGATTAATGCCTCTAAACTCACTCACTCACCTCACTGGTGACCTGATACTCCACATGTTTAAGAAACAGTCCCTTCTTCTCGGGAATGAGGTCAACTTTGACGGTGTCCTTCTTCAACAGCTCTGCCAGAGTCACGGACAAGATCAAGGGACTCTCCTGAACCGACTGCATCTTTAAACTCTGAAGCTCCTTCGGCTCTCCTAGCTGAGGCTTTGGGAACTCTTTAAAAACATGACATACAACACAATGTATTTAGCGTGGTGTGCAGCCAGATATGACTGACTAAGGATTACATATGCTTGATCACAGTATCCTACTTAAAGAAGACAAAGATCTCGTGCGACAGTCTCATGACAGCACATTAATAACACAGCATGAAGGAAATCTCAAAAGTAACAAGAAGGAATGAGAGAAAAACAACGTTGAACTACGTGGCACACCATACTGTATTTATTTCGGTGGATTTCTGTGGTTTGTGTGCCACATTTAGAAAAGAAAATCTGGAAAAGGGGAAAAAAACAACGTGACTCTGCATTACAAAAAGTTGTCTAAGCAGATTCAAACCAGGATCTTTGCTTTTGTTTGGTAAAATGCAACAACAACAAAAAAAATCCTTCTTGGCCATTCCATAGAGAGATAAGCAGTTGGTATGCAATGGACGGGAAACTTGGTTTTGCTTAGAGGAGAGAACAGGAAACCTCACTATTAAAGTGCACAGTCAACTGTCATACTGGCAACACCTGAAATAACACAAGAGGCCTGTATTGAATAGAAAGTTTAACCCTTCAGAGCTGATGAAAAATCATTCAAATAAGCCATCGAACAACCCTCCCAACATAACCATAGACCCGAGGAATGTAAATCATTCACACATGCTGTATAGGTGCTCATGAGAACAGTGAAAAGTGCTGAAATGTTGAAAGCAGTAATATAAAACCTCCACATATTAAGCTTTGCTCTTGCGCAAATCACTGCAAACAGATGGTGTGACAGCGAAATGCAGCTTGGATGTAATTCATTTGGGACAGCATGTGAGAGGCAATACAACATCACATGATAGGCCTATGTAGAACACAGGACAGTTTTTATGGAGACTAACTGGGCTTTACTGACTTTAAAATGACATCTGATTAAGCTACACATTGACTACAGTCAGCTGAGGAATTGATATGCTTTTGCTTACCTTGTATGAAATTCTCCAGCAGTTTGGGACTTGGTGGTTTTCCTTGTTGAGCAAGGGCAATGAGAGCCAAGCCTTTATACAGCGAGACTTTACTTAGCAATCCATCACTATTGTTTATATGTTCGGTTATCTAGAATGTAAATGACATATCTTTTCAGTCTGTGTAGAATAAGTCATGGTTACACAAGATAACCCAACAAAATCATGATAATATATCCTTATCCAGCTGTAAATAAGGTCACTGAAAGGATGTAATTTAGCTAACTGTCAGCTACGGTTTCCCTAACCAATAATAAGACGTAATCCTGGTGCAAGTCTCACCTGGTTTTGAACGGTGATGGAAAGAGTTGTTCTGCTGAGAACTCTCAGGAATACACTGATAGGCACTCGTTCATCAGTTCTGGAGCAGATGGCTTGATGCACTTCACGATAGTATGCAGGGACGGATCCTAGATTCAAAGGACAGTGTGTTAAAGGAATAGTAGTTCATCCTGTAATCAATTACTCAGCGAGACTTTCTTTATGATGAAAATGATTATATTTGTCTATCGTATAAATGAAATGAATTATTACAAATGAAAATTTCTGTCCCTCCATTGAAAGTCTCACTCAAAACGCAGAGGGTTCAAAACTTTCATAAAGAGTAGAGGAAATTCATATTAATGGAGTGGTTTAGATAAATGATCGCTTTATATGATGAACAAATTTAATTAAGGCTTTATTCATATGTGAACACTGATCAGCAAACAAATATGGTCAACTGCAGCTCAAGCATGCTTTTACTGTCAGGGTGAATGGAGGGACAGAAATCTCTCAGAGATTTCATTAAAATAATCCAAATAGGGCCTATAGAAGATTAATAACATTCTATTGGTTTAGAATGACACGCGAATGAGTTATTGATGACAGATTTTTATTTTGGGTGAAGTGAACTATCCGTTTTTGAAATAACAAATTGACAGAAGATTATGTCATTTTTTTTTGTTTGTTTTTGTTTTTTATCCAAACAAGCCTATTACTAAAACAATAGTACATTGTAGTTGTGCAGTATATGTATTTTTATAGATAAATCGATACAATGTTGTCTTTAAACTTTGCGTCGTCAATCTGGACAACTTCAATGAACGTCAGTAAACAGTAGAAACTGGTGAGTGGTGAAACAACAAATAAAAATGAACATTTACGCAACAAGACAACAAAGTAAAACTCGCGTTAAAGTGCCTCACGTTTTTAGTCGCGAATTTTTAAAACATCATCAGCGAAATTAAGAAAACAAATTCGCGGATAGCCGTTCAAATAGATATATAAAACTGCAAAGTTCTACAAAGGTTAAGATACAAAGGGTATAAACAGACAGCCATACATTAGCCTATCTAAAACTGCGCGCTATTTAGCTTAAATTACCGTAATTTCTATTCCCTACCTTCAGTGATGTCCCCTGCCATAGTTTAGATGTCATGTGAGCGATAGCACCTCCATGTGATTTCCTGCAGAACAGAGTAGGAATGTCCTAGTCCTTCTCCTTAAAGTTGTAGTGATGTGGAAACACATGGTTTACTATGTGACAGACATGTGTGGGTGGAGCTGCCTCATCAAGTTCGACACAGGCTCTTTGAGGACAAACACATCTCAGTGATTCTTGGGAATTTGGATAAAACAGGTTTTAATTTTGAAAATAAAAAGTTAGTTAAATTACAAAATCTAAAGGTATATCATTATAAAGCAAGGTCTTGGCTGTTCAGCAATGCACCGGTGCAACCTCCTCATTTTGTATTTTTTTCATAAAATAGGCGTTTCTCCAGTTATCACTTTGTTTTTGTCAACACCGTCAGACAAAATAAATAGCTAATTATTTTTTATTTGTTTGGTCTAATATGTATTTAGAATTTTTAAATCATTATCTGGCATTCTTGGTACACAGATATGCTGTTAAATGTTGAATATTCACTTTTGTTCATTTTTTATACTGTTTTGCGTGTACTCCTTTAAAAGATATAACATCATACAACATTTACTTTAAGCCTAAATAGAAAAATTAATGTTGTTTTATTTAACAAACATATTTTTGTATTAAAATAGACTATTACTTTAATAACTCAACAGCACTGAAGAATCATATTTCAAGTATATTCATTTAAAACCAATAAAACTCCCTCTGACGGTGGTGACTTTAGAACTGACGGTGGTGACATTAATCTGACGGTGGTGACTGTGGCCTCTTTACAACATACAATTCCACAATGTATACCACTCAAGTCAATCAATTCTTGCTTAACAACTTCATTTAACTCTTTGGTCCAAAAAATAACAATCTTGAGCACTGTGATAAACATTTTTTTCCTTTTATGAGGTATTCCTCATTTAACTCTGCCTCACTGTGTATTTTCTCTCTCAGCTTTTTTTGGTATTCCCTGTTTCTTCTCCTTCTCTCCTCTACAGATAGCTGCTGCCTAGCCATAACTTTCGAAAATACATAAAGTCAAAGTTGAGTGTAATGACTATGAAATTGGGGGTAATTACAGCGAATGTTAGATTTGTTTAAATGATGTCATGCCATTTTCATTTGGCTTTAGTCATTGGAGATGCATAGCCTGGAATGGATAGTGCATACTATGTGCTGTGTAGGTAGGCAGTAGCTGCACTATGTGCATCCTTAGTTCTGGTTAGTTCTAGCAGGTCACGTTAGTCAAGCTCGCATCAGCCGACTATTAGCTGATCCACCTCCCCCTATAGGAATATGACGCCTATCACTGTACACATATACAGTATAAGCTCCTTCAGTATTATCATCAGCTATCACGTTTCTCAGGAGCTCATTACCCTCCTCCCTCCCCAGCTCCACTCGTCAGTCAGGACTTGACATTCTGATTCCCCAAGAATCTGAATAAATTCTCGAATTATATTGTACTTTAAATTTTGAAATAATCTGCAAAACATTCGTGTTGGTTCTGTTCTGTTTACCCCAAGGGGGTTATTGCTGCTCCTATCCATGCTAGGCTTTAACAAATTTTTAGTGTGGGCAAAAATCTAAATGAACGTCATGAAACACAATTTAATCGCATCAAACGTGTTCAGATTAGAACTGCTGTATTCCTGCAGCTGAACCACAGCCGTGAGGATATCAGGAAACATCCTCACTCTCACTCGCGCTAATAGTAGCATGCAGTGTAAGCCTGAATGGAAGAAATATAGGGGGAATTAAATAAATAAAAATATTAAAGAAGTGAATGGAACATTACAGGATAATATATTGGTATTTATTGTGATCAACAATTATATTCTAGCCTCTGTTATAGACCATTTGGGGGGTTTTGTCACCACCGTCACACGGTATGTCACCACCGTCAGATAGAAAACCTGACGGTGGTGACGTCTGACGGTGGTGACAAAACCTACTCTTTCACATGATATGCATGAGTTGTTCACATTATAGCCATCTTGTTTCCCCTCTGTTGCTAGCTACTTCAGACCTCTTCTTAAAAAGTATACAATTATGTCATAATCTAATCTAATATTTTCTATACAAAAGAGACGGTGTTGACATGTTATGGTTGTGACAGTAGTAGTGCCCAAATATATGAACAAGTTTAAGAGAAAATAGCAAAATTACGGGAGCTTGAGTGATCTTGAAGCATGCTGTAAAGCTGAAGGTTTGAAAATGGGGTATGGAGGAATGTAGTTGACCTTGTAGTTGCCTGATTTTATTGCTTTTTATAAATATCTGACGGTGGTGACGAATATGTGGGACACATTTTGAACAACCACAAAAAAATAGTAAATATTGTTCAAAACTCAATGTTTGTAGTTTTTAATACATATTACAATGTACTCTTTTGTGTGGTAAATATATTATTCAATTCAATTATTCCTTTTTGTTTTTTTAATCAAGTTGAAATGATTATCTCCTATCCGAGGACAGCTGATTTTGTAGGCAATGGGCCAGCATATAATCATTAAAATAATAAAAATGAAAAATAAACCTATAAAAGAACCTTACATATGTGCAAAGGACCCCCTGATTATAAACTTGATTCTTTTCATTCATGAAAATGTTATTAATTTCCAACAGAATTAGCACTTTTTTTAGTGGGACATGTTTTTGCCAAAGTTTCAAGAATCAGTGATCTTTATATGACCCTACAGACTGGTTGTGTGTGGTTAGAATATGTAATTCACCAATGGGAAGTGAGAAACAAACAAACAAGAAAAAAAAAAAACAATATTCTGAAAAAAAAAACATCCTTATTAAACTCACAACAACTGTAACATTGTACAGTATTTACCATTAGCCTATAGCATCAAAGTGTTGCCCAGCTGCTACTGCAACTTGCTTATTATCATTTTTTGAGATATTTCTGAAAAATAAAAATGCATGAACAAGGAACATGAAACCTGGAAATCTCTTTCCCATTTTATTGTTCCTCATTCAGTCAAAATATTTTTCTGTTGAAGACAAAACAACACATCTTATACTAAATTCAGAATTCACCATAATTTTAAGGAACTGAAATAGTCATGAGTTGATTTGCCATAAATGATTGAGTTGAAATCAAATTAAGTATTTTTTCCCCTCTGGTTGAGAATGTTTTTAAGACTAAATCAAATGCAACCAAAATATTTTATTTTTAGTGAATAGATTTAGATTTGTATTTCAATACAAAAATTGAGGAAAGCTGAGGTCACTCTAGGAAAGTTAGCAAAAACTGATTTGTGCATCATTCCTTGAGACATAAATAGGCTATGTTTTATCTATATATACAACATTTCCAGTATAGCATATTGTTGACTAATTATCATCATGTATATATACAGTACTTGCTCTGTGAAGCTTAAATGCCAAAGCTCATGACTTGCAGAGCTTAGCTAATGCAAATATCATTTTGATCCCAGTGCCCATACCTTCATTTAGTGGAAGTGAAAGTGAAAAGGCTAAATTATTTAGACTCAAACAAGCCAGTATTTTAAAGTTGCCTGCTGCTATTATCTGCATTGTTGTTTATTACCAGATTTAGTTAGGCCGTTACCAGATTTTGGTTATGGTAAAGTTTCATTCCATAATAATTAATAATAATTTAATAATTAATAATTGAAGTTCAGATGCAAAAGCCTCTAAATGCCATTTGAAATTTTCTTCTTTAATGATGGTCTATGGTCTATGGTTATTTAATTATTCTTTAATAATTTTTATCAAACTTGTATATTTAAGTTCAGTAATTACTTTAAAAGTTTCATATATTCAGACAGACATTCACCTTATTTCAAGGGCCTTCTAATTAATAATTACTTTGATGACATTATACATTGACTCATTGACATCTTAAATTTGACTTTCATTTTGGGGGCTTTCCATCCAGGCATATATCTTTATGTTCAGAGATGTATTATTTATTCTTGGATGAATTCTATTCTGCATATTCTATTCATCACACATTTTAGATTTCATTTAGGCTTGTTTTGAGAAAATATTTTGGTTGTCTTTCTTGCGGGCATAGACAGAATCCAGATATTCATTTCTACTGCCATGAATAAGTAATTAACCATCAAGCCAAATTGTGCTTAGGTTTTAATTCCTTAAGCTTTTGGTCAAAGGTCATTTTTATGGTTTCTTCCTGAGGATGCGCATTTAAAAGAACAGTTCACCCCAAAATTAAAATGTTGTCATTACTTACTCATACATCATTTACTGTTTCTTTCTTTTGTTGAACACAAAAGAAGATAAAACTATCTTCAAAATATCTTCTTTTGTGTTCAACAGAAGAATTAAACTCATTCAGGTTTTGAACAGCTTGAGTTAATAATGATTTTGGGGTGAACTGTAAGACAGCAATTAACTATAGATTTCATATTTCTTTAAGTGAGTTAAAGCATTTTACAGTGTAACATACAGTACAAGAAGTATTTCCAGGTTTGGTGACTTAGATTAGACGGTATGAAATAGGCTAAACGAATAAATAAGCATGTTATGTGCAAAGGTTATTTTTTATATGAGCAAATCAGTGAATCATTTTTTGCTGAGGCTGTAAATGCAATGTTTTAACATTAATTTGTAACCTCTATAAGTATTGGCTATGCAAAACATTACGTAAACATTTCGTTTGATTTCATTTTTATTTTATTTTATTTAAAAAAAAATACATTTGATATGTTTTTTCCAAAAGAATCACCATCCTCCTCTTTCTACGAAATTGTATTTTATTTGTTTTAAATATTCATAAAAAGGGAATATTCCTATACAACATGAGAGCTGCGATCCTTCTGTTTTCTCCAAGTAAGCCTCGTGTTTATTATTCTGTCTGGCCACTAGATGTCCCTGTTCTCAACAGTTGCCCCACACCGTGATAAACCTCCACTCTCTCGGTGTGTGAGTTGAGTTTGTGTCGGTGGGCAATCTGGGCATACGGCTCGTTGCTTGGTTGCTCTTCACACACTCACACTGGATTAGAGATCATCTCACCGAGTTTTGTCGGCTGGGAGGAGTCGCGTGGCGTGGCGTCTGCTAACCCACACACGGACATTTTGACTTCATAAACACCTTCCCCGGTAATTTATGACTAATAAGGACAAAAGGACGGAGGAGTTTCACCGTGGGAATGACGGAGCCGCAGACAAACGCTTGGCACTAGTCTCGGCCAAAGCAAGGGAGATAACGTTACATCTCCTAACTGGCTGGCATTGCGAGCAACCTGAGGACTAAGTCTTGGATCTAGGAAGGTTTCTGCTTTAAATTAAGGCATATCTCAGGGTTGGTGTGCATGCGCCTAGTTTTAATGTATCTAAACAATAGGCAGTTTTGAAAGGGGAAGTAAGATCTTGTAATACACGCTTCCCTTGTGTTTACACAGTCAGCCGGGAGGAAAGCTCGAGTCCTGTTTTATACAGCTGAACGCTTCTAAGCAGAGAAGAGTCTCTAAATAATTAGCTCTTTGCCGTTGCGTGTTGTTTAAACCCTTCGTTTTTACTTAACAACCAGCTTTCGGTTTCTCTCCAGGGCACTGCAGGCGGTTTAAACAACTAATCGCATTTAGCTCCATATCACTATGGGTGAAGGACGATAGATGAGCATTTTCCAAGGAAGAGCAGATTTATGTGTCGCTTGTTTAAACCCCGACTGAAGTTTTAAACTAGTTTTAGTTTGGAGTGTGTTATCGCCATAAAGATTATGGCTGCCGTTGTGAATTACTCTCCTCCGTGGTGGGTTAACCTGATGCACAGACTGCCTCACTTTAATCTGCAATTTGAACAAACCAGCAGTGATTTTCGCCCAGAGGACTCGTCATACCAGCAGGTAAGTCCATGTATTAAACCTGCATTAAAAAAAAAAAAATATATATATATATATATATATATATATATATATATATATATGTGTGTGTGTGTGTGTGTGTGTGTTTTAAATATTGTGACAACATATGTTTTTACATTGCTTTAACTAATCAAAATGTAAGTACTTTTATTTATAAGTTATACAAGACTGAACTAACAAATGACAAGTTGATTGTACTTAAGTTAAGGTAGCAACTATTTTTACACTGTTTTGATACTGTGACTGAAATGCTGTTGCGTGTAATATGAAATGTTGTCTGTTGTAAGGCATATAACAGTAAGTGTTGCTGATATTCAACATAATTCTTTGTTTACCTGTGAATTAAGTAATTTGTTTGAGACATAAATTGGCTAGTTAGTTATTTCGTTCCTAGCCATGAGACCTGCAGACACAGAAAGAGCTGGTTAACAAAAGAGAAAAGAGTATGTGCTCACTGTAGGACTGGAGAGATTGAGACTGGGATGCACTTCCTCCTTCACTGTCACAAACTGAACTCGCAACTGAAGTATAACAAATTAAGAATTCAAATTCCAAGCTTTGGCAATATTGTAACATTAACAGTCATGCTAATAAAGTTTAGGGGGTGAGGGGTGGGGTTAGGCTTCAATGAGATGGGGTGACAATTTGGCACCTGACTTGTCTGGAGTATGGGTAGTTTTCCATTTTGCACTTTCAAGCACATTATTGAGATAACTGGTATAATATATATATATATATATATATATATATATATATATATTAAGGGGAAACCCTAAAAAATATAATGTGGAAAACGCTTAATGTGCTAAAACACTGACCAGGGAAAATCTAATTTCTATCACATTTTACTACTTATTTACAACTAAGACAATGGCACTGTAATCCAGGCAGAAAGAGTGGTGCAGGTATGACATCCATTTGTTGGCCAATTGGCAGTTAACCCAATAGGATTTTTCCATTGGCGTTTGGATTATCGGCAAAAAAAAAAAAAAAAGCTCTGTCATCAACAAAAGTTTATGGTACTTTTTACTTATGTTTTGTCCATCAAAATAATTTTCAAAGATGAAGACAACTTTTTTGAAATATTGAAGCCTAAATGCAGTCGTCAGAAGTGAAAGACTTCAACGTCACCGTCAATAGAATTCCGACAACTGTTTAAGTTTTTATCTAAAAGCATTTTCCCTGAAAGCGTGAGTTAGAATAGTTTGTAAGAGCACAATTATAAGCATAAAGAGGCTGTAAAAGCGAACTTTATCTGTTCATCGTGATAACGTTTAATGTCCCCGACAGCCTCCGTTCACCTTTTTCATAAAAAAATCCTGAATGGTGTTATGTATTTTATGTTGTAATATAAAACATTAAACTGTCTTGTGTAAAGTGCCCCCCCCCCCCCCCATAGAAAACCTATATAAAGAAATGCTTGGTGTACCAAGACATTGATATTTAAAGCAAACTCAATGTGCACTTTATTTTTGAGTTCTTTTTTTTAGAACAATTTTCTATGGTAAAGGTATTGCATAATGTATTGTCTTCGATTATGGTGCCATAGAAATGTGAGAATTTTTTTCCCCCAGTTGTTTTTTTATAAAGTATCATCTTGCTTAAGCCAAAGTTAATTTGAACGCACCCGACGTCGCAATTGAATTTACCAATTTGTAAATACAAACTTCCCAGGAGGACTTCAACACACCATTGAAACATTTCGTCTATCGCATTATAGGACCAGAACAAACTGCCAGAGTTAATGGGTAGCTCATCTCTTAAAGAGATTATGCAGATTTTCTTTTAAATATGTGCATTTCTCTGTGCCATAAAAATGCAATAGAAATCATTCAATCTTCATGACATCTTCATGACGACTTCATAATTGTTATTGTAATGCTTGCATGTCTCTAAGGCCGTGTTGTCCACCAAAGCGTTTTTCCACGCTCCTGGCGTATGTTTCAATTGTTTTCAGGGGGAGTGGCGCGTTTTTTAAACGCCATGAGCGTGACGAGGCGCTGAGCGTTTTTTTCACACTGAAGCGCCCAGCGTTTTTACTGGTCGCTGGGAGTTGAAAAATGTTCAACTTTGGATAAAACGCAGCGCTCATCACTGTCACTTTTTACCCAGCCGTCCAATCACAGTGGAGGAGGGGCGGGACTAATACCACACCGACCAACTGTCAACATTCAAACTGCTGCGGATATTCTGTATCATAGCAACAAAACGTCTCAACGGAAAAAACGCTGCGCTGCCAAAACGCTCTCAAGCGCCCAATGCACGGCGTCTTCAGCAGAGCGTCTAGCGTTTTCAGCTGGCTAAAAACGCTTTGGTGGACACACGGCCTAATGCTGAACACACCCAGGTGTGGCTGTTGAAGATAGCAGGGCCCTTTGAACATCTTGGCTGCAGGCCTTCATCATAGAGACAACAGATGGCCTACTGACAAGCCAGGCGTGCATCAGTCTGGTGACATTGTCTAATTAAAGCTCCTTACATCAAGTTTGGCCGTCCCTGTTGTTCGCTTTTATGGAGAACTTGGGTTAAACCAGTTGGTAAAATAGACTACTAAAATTATTTTACATTTCGACTACATATGATCCACTTTCAATAAAGATTAATGTTGAAATGGGTGAAATGCTCCTTTAAGTCGCAGGAGAAAGCAGCGAAGATGGAGACTGGAGAGCAAAGGTGAAGTCAGAAAATTCAGTGCTTCTAGGTTATAAAGCTCATAGACTGTCAGCTGTTTGAAAATATGTGTCACCGAGTCAACAGGATTGGAAGAATGTCTTAAACCAGCAGGAGCAGTCTTAGATAAAGCAAAGATTCTGTTTTTACAGTTGTGTTAAGGGGTCTAAGGTGGATGCAACTGATGTCAATGGTATTTGAATCCTTTCAAACGCCATTGACATCAGTTGCATATAGCATTACAGATAACATGTGAACTGTGTACTAGAAGCTCATCTGCCATGGATTGAGAGGAAGGTCTGACTCCTAGCCACCAATTTTTTATTTATTTATTTATTTTTTTTGCTGCACCAAGTTGTCATGTGGTAGTCGTTTTTCTGTTAGCAATTCAATCATTTAAATGCTTTTTTCTTTTATTAATATACAGGAAAATCAACATTTAGATTTTTTCCCCCACTGATATCAGCTAAAGGATATTATAAGTTTTCTTAGATTTAGAATAATAAAAATAAATAAAATATTTTGCATTTTAGGCACATTTTCGCTGATTATATTAGTTTGTCAGAAAAAAACAAACCATTTATATATTTCACAAAAATATTACATTTAATTGATAAAAATATTATTGACTGAAGATTTTTTATTTATTTATTTTTTTTACTTAATACACATTTGTAATTGACTGGACGCTCAAGCGGCTTGTTCTCTGTAACATTTGTCTTGGAGTTGAAGCACACATAGCTGAATGTTAACAGACAGCACAGCTGAGGATGGGGGAGAGAGAGGACACCTGCTGTCCACTGAATGGCTCTTGTTCATAGGATTGGAATTAACTAGAGATGCCATCTTGTTTGGTCACTAGTTAAGCTCACTCCTGATGCCCCAGTTGGGATTTCCTTGATGTGCTTATCTGGGAACTTTGTACTAGTTTTAATTTCAGCTCAGTATTTTTTTTTTACTTCTGATGGTCTGCTTCCATTAAAAAGAACAAAGGCAGACTAGTTTTTAGTAAAAAATCATTTATTTATGCTGCAGCCTAAATATTCAGTTGTTGGGGACTGCTCGCCTTGTAGATGACAGGTTATTAATATTGCTCTGTAGACTGCATCAAGAAATTTGGAGTTGCAAGCTAGCTAATGCTAATGCAATAAATGCATGTGTACTCTACTGAAGATAGTTTGGGTCATAAGTCGTTAACAGGAATTACACTTACAGTGTCTGTGTTATATGCTTTATATTTAGTTGTCGCTGTATCTTCAATGAACTAGTTTTTCAAAATTAAATTTTCTAAACATTTAACTAAGTACAGATAATAGATGAAGTCTCTTATGCTCCTCAAGACTGCATTTATTTGATCAAAAATACAGAAAACAGTATATTTTTACAATGAAATAACTTAAAATAACTATTTTCTATTTTTAAATTGTAGTTCATTCGTATCAAAGCTAAATTCTGATGATGAATATAAAGTAAAATAAAAGCAGATTTTTTTATTTTTTTTTACAATATAAACGTCTTTACTGTCCCGTTTGATTTGGCAAGCAATTTGTCCTTGGTAAATAAATATTAATTAATTTATTTTTATTTTTTTTAAATTGAATAAATCTTACTCGCCCCAAACTTTTGATGGTAGTTTAAAGTATAAAAATCAATAAAGATAAATTAAAAATGTATTTTATATTGGCCAATAACTCTTAAATCTTTGTGGCCACCATTCCTTTTGTGAACTCAAGTGCACTGAATCAATGTCTAATATTCTAGTTGAACCTCACCCCTTCCCATCCTTAAACAATTGTCATTGGCCATCAGTGAGCAATGCATTGAATTTGAGAGAAGCATGTTTCGCATGTTTACAAAGGCCAGGACTGTGGGAGTTTGAGCAGTGCTTCTCACGAATTGTCGTGGATGAAAGCCAAGCTGTGAATGGGGGGGAGGTCCAGTCAGTTGGATGATGGATGAGACTGGAGCTCTGGGTTTGTTTGGGTGAGGACAGACCTGCCAGCGGATGAGGAGGGCACACAAGGCTAACTTGAGTGTGCCGCCAGTGGGTTGTCTGCCACAAGTTGATTAACCTAAATGTAGTTTGGGGAATCTCGTTTAGTACGGTGAATGATTTCCATCCAGAGTTGGGAATGGGAATGTGAACAAGTTAAGAGTAAACAGACTTGGTGTAATTTCATTTAGAGTTGTAAAAAGAGGTGGTATTTTCATATTTAGTCTTCAAACCATGCTAAACAATGTTTTTACTTGCTTTACTTGCTTGGACAGTTATTTCTAAGCAGATTTTTCTGGAGTTTAAATGTATTTGAATT